GTATGTATTTGTACCTACCGAAAGTATTCCCCCATTTCGTTCGTTTTAGAATACCCAGGCAGATGCTCCCTCACCAAATACTTTCCAAAATTCTGCTTCTAAAAATGATTAACAGCAAGTTCTTAATAACCTTAAAAAAGCTGTCTTGGAAAATGATTATATCGATGCTGCCCATCAGAAACAAGACGAGACAACGTTGCCCAAAAATAAATAAATGTGACTTGATATTAAAAAATGTTCTAACAAATTACTGATAGTACTCTATTCCGACCTCATGATCGTTTGGCCAACTATATAAATCATTAACATGAAGATACACCATCCTAGTACTCAGGAAAAAAATCTATTGTCGATCTTGACGAAACACCTGAGCCCTACAAAATATAAAGGAAAGGAGAAGCAATTTGCTTTTGTTGTTGTTAGTAATGATGCAGCTTATAACAAGAAGCCTAAAATTGACCGAGCCCACCGGTACTTTTAGACAATACTTTTTTTTCACTTCCATCGTGGCAAACTATACAACAAACTTCACATAATTCAAGTTTTCACAAAGATGCTTCGCATGTTCATGATAGAGACAAATTGTTATTCAAAGAATTGTCTTGACCAATTCAAGAATATAGCCCATCGATTACAAATTTTCATCAATGATCCCAAATCGGAAATCGATCAGGTTTCAAATCCTATTGCAAGAGAGAAACTGAATATCATCACGAAGTTAAACTAAGCATTTAGTAAATGTTTTAAAATTAGTATTTTTTTTAAATGCTTTTTGCAAGTATAAATAGACCTAATATTCAATAAACATTTGTATTCTATTGCGATTACAAAGAAAAAATGTCGGGTGATAGCAAAAGCAAATTAGCATAGCAATATAAATAGCAATGTACAAAGCAAAGCAAACAAATAAAATATTAAAAACGGAATTTTTCTTGTATAACACCATCACCAAAAAGAGGTTGGCAAAAATCGGCAAATAAATTACAAAGTAAATTAGCATAACAAATTTTCAATCTTTTTTTTCGTTAAAAAATCAATCTATTAATTTGTTTTATTATCAGATCTAATTCACCTTCAACCATATTTTTTATAATATAATAATATTTTTTTTTGAATATTTTATATTGAATTATTCTATTATTTGAGATAGAATCCAGTTTCTTTAACGTATTTCTTATTGTATTTTTTGTAATAAAATATTAACATCATTTTTAATGTATTCTTGTTGAGTTGATTTATTACTTGAAATAACAATATTTCTAGGACGAGAAATAGTTTCTTCTGAATTTGAATTCAAGATGTATCTTAATTGTAACTCAACAATCTATTAAAATAATAATTCAAGTTATTAAATATATTAAATAAATAAAATTTGCGAAAAGATTATATAATAAATAAATTACTGCTTGTGAAGTCTAAATTTATCATATATTATATACTTCTTCAATAAATGGAATAAACCTTTAACATATATTATAAGCATAACATTTCCTTAGAAGATTATTAATATTATTACGGGTTGTTCTTTAAAATTCTTAAAAATTATAAGTGAAGTAGAAGTATAAGGGTCCACTGGTTTTTTTTTTTGGTAAAAATTTTTTTTTTTGATTTTAAAGAGCCTTTTTGTGAAACATTTCAAAAAAATTCATCCTAAATAAACATACTATTTATGGAAAAATCCTGCTTTTAGTAATTAACTGCGACTCTTGCACATCATCTGGTATAGGTCTTTGAGTTACTAGAATTTCAGAAACAGTAGCGAATATTTTTTCGTAATTGATGCAAACGTAAATGTATGGAAATCCTGGAGCTTCAATAGTCAATTCTGGTAAGGCGATGCATATGAAAACCTTCGCTTTACAGTAGCGTGCTCTGCTTAAATATTACGTTGAAAAAGTAACCTACGTCATCCAAATCTCTCCATATTCATAATGGACATGATATAACAAAGGATCTCTTCACAGCTAAAGATGTGAAAGATGTGAAACGAAGAATGGAAAGGTATTCTAATATTATATCATTTTTTCGTCGATTTTGCCTTTGCCACTTTGTATAACCTCTGTAACCTGAATAATAAATTATTTTTCTTAATTCCTCCAGTGTAAAATTTTTTTCTTGTTAGCACGAATTGTCAGTTGATTTTGGAAGAGTCACGGCTGAAATTAAAATTATGCGATTGTTTTTGAAGGATCTTCATATTGTTTATCGGCTCAATTACTTATCATTTGAACGATCTTCTTTACACATTTTTTCCTATGTCTATTTGATGGGGCCTAAGTTAAAACCTCGCTAATTTGTCACGGCACGGAGAGTGTTTACTTAAACTATGATAGTGATATTACAATTTAAGCTATTAATTATATAATATTTACTTAAAAAATATTATATTATCCTATTTAGTAGTATTTTAAAAGAAGAATCATTAAATGTATATAAAAAGCAGTATAAACGCGAAGTTAAATGTAATAGCTTTAATATTTATATATATATATGTATAATTACATATAGACCGACAGATAACGAAATTAAATTTACTAAAGTTTTCATTAAATTCATTCTGTTTTTATTCTTGTTTATGATTATTTTTTTATTTCTTATTTATTGTTGGATTGCTTCTTGCTCATTTTTTATATAAATTACTTTAGCAACAATTGCGCCCGTATATTTTATAGCATAAATATTATAAAAGAAACAATAAAGTAAATGATAATTATGATAGAAAAGAATAAAATTATTTATAATAGTCAGGGGCAGAATAATTATATCGTGAACCATGAAGTAATCTCTGATAACCTGTGAAGTTACTCTAAATAAACTAATAATTGAAAAGGTCAAACACTTCTGATAATTATGTATATATTTTTGTAATCAAGATAAAGGGTAAACTTTCATCAAGACATTGGTTTAATTAATTTTTCATATATAATTTATAAACCTACACCAGCTTAGGATGAGATAATGATGAAAATATGCAACCAAAGAACAGACATTTACTATGATTTGCCTCAAATTTTATTTATTTCTATTGGTAAAATTTATTATTTATCTGTATTAGAATTGAGACTGACTCTAATTATAATTATATTTTTATTCTTGGAAAGTTGAGGTTTTATGTTGACTTTAACTGATAAAGATATATATGTTTGATGTATTCATCTTATTATTCTGATTACAATACTCAAAATAATAGGTACGCTTTTAAGATACTTGTTGCAGTAACTTAACGAAATTGGATAACACAAACCCAGGATGAAGAAATGTATATTGCATTTGTTAAACATTTATATGTGATTTTTGATTTATATTCGGGTTACTTAAAATTATTTATTATCAATATTCGCATATAATTAAAGATCATATAGGACCTTTGCAATAAAAAGGGGAAACTGCCGGGAAAAATCAATACTATATTACTTTTATGCCAAATATGATTTTCAGTATTGCCAAGGTCCCATCCCATCAGGTGAAGGTGAACATAAAATTATGTATTTTGATCGTGTACAACGTTCTAGTAATCATAATACTCGTCACTGTCGGTTCCTTTTTTTAAACAAATTATTAATAAGTTTTGGAAAGGATTTGGAATTAACTGTATTTTTTTTTTTTTTTGGGATTAAGAACTCATATTTTTACGTTGACTACAGCACGTAACTTTTTTTGAAGTGCTACGAAAAAAAATAAAAAATGTTTTTACGGTCGTCTAAAAGGTGATCTTGATCATTAGTTAATATTTACGAAATTAAATAGACTATTTTTAGTTGTTTAAATATGGTCTACATCTTCTTTATATAAAAAATAATTTGTAACGTTTTCCGGTATTGAAAACTTCGAAAGATATAATTAAATGCCTTTGCTTCACAAAGAAACAATCTTGTTCTTGTTCTTAATATATACCCATAATGAACTATTGAGTTCAATTTTTCGACTTTTTATATATATATATTTTAAGAAAAACTTGCAAAGTTAAACAAACATTTAAAATTGAATATTTTTGTAGTATTTTTGATTTCAAAATTATGTCGATTAAGTTGTAAAATTTGCGCCAATTTTTTCATACACCGGTCTCGCAACTTAACCGTACATATTACCCTATCCAAAATTATTCTAATAGTAAAGAAAATCTCAATTTTAAACGGACGACTAAAAAAGATAACCCCTGAAACATTATGAGCAATAGCCTGTATATTCGTTAAGAAAAATCCATCCCACTCAAAATTTTTCTAATAAAATATACCAAAATTGAGTACAGCTCCATTGATCTAGAGGTTGGAACCGGTTAATTTTTAACCGGTTAATTAACCGGTTAAGACGTTTATCTTGTTAACCGGTTAAAGATTTTTTTTAACCGGTTAAAATAACTAATGTTAACTCTGGCCGAAATTTAATTTTCGGGCAGAATTAAAATTTTTTTGCAATTACAAAATTTGCTAGTTTTGCCCAAATTTATAGTGCCGGCCTGAGTTAAATTTAAACGGTTAATTAACCGGTTAAAGAAATTTTTAACCGGTTATTAACCGGTTAAGGATTTTTGGGCCGGTTCCAACCTCTACATTGATCAAGTGCTGAGTATAAAAAATGTTAATAAAAGCCACACCAATGTTTACAAGGAATAGCAGTTGAATGGGCCATGAATTTATTTACATACTAAACAGCTTTTCAATTATTCAGAAACATAATTCAACGAAGATGTAAGGTAAGACAGTTAGATGAATGCCAAAAGATACAATTAAAATCTATGCGTATGCAGGATTTTGTATTAAAGGAACAACGTCTAAATTTTGATGTCAAACGATAATGACAGGTAATTTTTATGTGGAAATTCTACAGAACCTTCTGCCAGAAGCTAGGCGAGGCGTATGCTAAAAATTGACAAGAATTAAGTTTTGCGACTTCATATTTTAGTTTTTTTAAATTAAGTTAAAAAAAGAAAATGTGCACCAGAATAATATATTTTTTTGGCGAAAAAAATTCTTTATTTGGTTAATTTAATAAATTTATATTTATTTAATAAGAAAAATGCCTTCACGATTACGGGCATATATTACTAGAGCAAATACAACTAATTTTGTAGAATTCCTCCAAAAATAATCATCTGATTTATTATTCCCAGAAACATTTATTGTAAACTATATCATTTGTAAAAGAAAGTTTAATAAAAAAACCAACTTCTATTAAATGAAGATGTATATCGTTACAATATATTCCTCCTACCCAGCCATCCCACCAAAGAAATGGTCCTTCATGAAATGTGCCTGCTTCTGTATGAATAGAGAGTTTATATCCTATTGACCAATCCGGAGATGTCTTTGATGATGAGCTTTGAATTGGTTTATTAGGTGGCATGGGTGATGATGGTACTTGAATTGGGCTCTGAGGAAATGGTATGTCACAATCAGTCGATTTCTCTTGTTGAAGATAATCGTACCAATGAATGCATATATTATTTATTGCATGATATCCTCGTGGATTAAGCGCTACTCTATGTATGGGATATGTACGATACGATTCTTCTTGTATAGGATATGGATGGGAGGAAGTATTGATGACAAATAATAAAATTATCAATAATCCTAAATTTTGTAATTTACGTACCAACATCGTAATTAATAAATATTACTTTTTTACAAGTAAATTAATATTTTATCATACGATTCAAGCTCAATTTATAATAAAATTTTGACCTATATAGTGATTTTAAAAAAAATTGGAATTTCAGTCACATGACATGGATGATCATAATTAATCCAAATGCGTAAATGCTCATTTCGGACGTCCAAAATGACAATATGGCGTATGCTCATTTCGGATCAAAATGTTCGGATAATGCCTCCACTCACTTTACTCAAATAATCACTTCGAATTTTCTCGAATAACCACTTCGTTTATCCAAATCAAGTTCTCGGATGCTCAATATGACTATTTTATATTCTAAAAAGTCATTCCGAATGACCCAATGACAAATATAGAGAGCATCTTAATTAGTAATTCAACTTTGGACATATAATGTTAATTTCCTATGTGTCTGGAGTCATTTGAATAGGTCAATTGTGAATGTCTGACGTAGTCTTTTGGGATTTTATCCGTAATGGTCATTTGTGATTTCCTAAGTGATCATTGGCATTTCGGCAAATGCATATCCGAAACAATCTTCACATTTGGGATATCCGAAATGCTCATTCCGATTTGGGATATCCGAAATGCTCATTCTGATTTGGGATATCTGAAATATTCATTTAGGATATTAACGAATTTTGGCTACAACAAATACAATTTGACCCATGGCACTACGATACCATTTATTTTTCTTTTAAAAAAGATTTTTTTTCAGAAAAATGTAAAATGTCTATTTCTGATAAACGAAGGCAACGTGAAATTCTATAAATTATAAAAGCATAAATCCAAAATGTATGTAGACATGTGTGATGCTTTTTTTCTCAGATTCAAAAAAAATTAACAATAATAGTTTTTGACTTCTGATTCTCCCCTGAAAAAAATTATTTGATGGAGGTGATCCCGTTAGGTAATATGCTTGTGCGACGAAATAATAACAGAATAGCATTTACTGATATGTAAATTTGCTCAGGAACTACGGGCTATTTCTATTACATTCCGACCGAAGTACATTTATATATCGTTATTAGGTCTTAGTATTAAGTAGCAAAAAAACAAGAAGTCCGTATATGCATTATCCCTGACGCCTTTTTAAATGTCAAGATCTTTAATGCACATTCCGCATGTCCTTATTCTCGAACACAAAACTTTGGCGTAAAGGCATTGCATTTCTGCTGTCTCTTTCTTCTCCTACATGAATGCAAGTACAGAGAAGTCGTAAATAGAAAACATTTAAAAAGTCAGTTTGTATTATGTTATTGCTTCTTGCTTCTTTCTTTACCGAAATCACATTTAATAATGTCAAACTTGGTATCCAAAATCGAAAATGTTCTATTAACTAGACTTTTATGGTGCGAATATGGTAATATCTTAGGTAAATATGAAGATGTTAGAACTTTAGCAGATAGCGTTGTGAATTCTGCATTAAATGAAAATAATCGATTGTTAGGAAAACGAAAGTCTTAGAGACTCTAGCCAGTCTACAATCACAATGATCTTTGTCAGAAACTCCAATTCTCATTCGTACTATCAGGAGAATACTATTCATTTGACAAAACATTATGAATTAAACTGGGTACACTGGTTTGCTGAATTCAATGTGTTGTTTCGGACAGCATTTGCATATTTTATCTTAAATATCTACATAAGATTTATATTCCGACACTTTTTTATCCTTACCACTAGGTTGTTTTTGTTTGAATCCACTTATTGACAGAAATTTGAAGTATGAATCATTTGTCACATTTTGGCACCATTAATTGATAATTGTTCCTAACATGTGAGGATATCCAAGTCTATCGGTGAATATGGAATCTGTTATTTCTTTGCTTTTCATCTTATTTTCCAATTATTTATTATCAATCCATCTCAGCTGCTAAGAAATGTCTCTGGATTCGATCAATTATATATGAATTAAAAAAATATGATATAAATTATAATTTTATTATTTATTTATAATAAATATTTTTACAAATTAAATTTTAACTAAATTTTTTTAAATGAAAAATAACTCAAAGAATGATTAAATAACTAAATTTAATCATCTTTTATCCCAAAAATTTAACTAAAAAATATATTTCTGTTATTATATCAAGTCCAATTATTCAAATCAGAATCATAAGAAAAAAAATGATAGAAAATGTTTTAAAAGAAAATTAGCTAAAAATTTATATAATCATTTTTAAAAAAAAAAAAATAATGCAAAACCATTCCATTAGTATTTACCTTATGTTCAAAATTCTAAGATTTATAGATTACAAAGGTAAATTAATATCAATTTAAAATTTTTTTAAAATAAAAAAAATACTAATATAATTCTTATTTCGAATTCCAATCTAAGGTTATAAGGATTTATAAAAGTGAGTTATTATTAGTTTTTTTTTTTAAAAATTTAAAAAAATTTACTAAAAAATTTCCAAATAGGACTTACTTCTTATCTTACTCATTTTGATTTAACTTCAGGCTTAAGGATCCAGAATATCTCACAAAAGTAAATTTAGTGTTATATTTTTTCTATAAAAATAAAATAAAAAACTAAAGAAATTTAAATTTTAAACTAATCTTTTATTCAGTATTTCAAGATTTAAAATCTATAAAGGTAAATTAATATTAGTTTCTATTTTTTTAACCTTGTTTTATTTAAAAAAAAAAATACTAATAAAATTCTTACCGTAGATCTGAATTCAATCCAAGGTGGGCTTTTAGTTATTTAAATGTTAGTTTATTTATAAAAATAAAAGCATAATTAATTATTTTATTTAGGACTTATCTCCATCCTAAATTTCAAGTTTATAGATTAGTCTAAAGGTAAATTTTTTTAATTTTAAAAAAAATTAAAATAATAGCTAACAAAATTTTCTATTAGGACTTACCTTTATATGATTCCAATCACTAAATATAAAGATTTCAAACTATATTCTATAAAAGTATATTAGTTGAATGTTAGTTTATTTATAAAAAACAAAAACACTAATTAATTATTATTTAGGACTTATCTTCATCTCAAATTTCAAGGTTTTTAGGTTCTGAATCAATCTATAAAGATAAGATAATATTAGATTTTGTTTTAATTTTAAAAATAGAAAATAAAGAATAAAAAAATCTTTATAAAACTTACCTTTAATTTGAAGACACCAGATTATTTTCTATGAAGATATATTAGTTTAATTTTTTTTTAAACAAAAAAGAAAAAATAACTAATGAATTATTTAATTAGAACTTATCTTTATATATAACATTCCAATTTTTATAATTTCAGATCAAATCAACAAAGGTAAGCTAATAACTTTTTTTTTTAAAAAAAATAAATTAAAAAATAAAACTTGCAATAAAGGCTTATTTTGATTGATCTGAACTAAGGTTTCAAGTTTCTGAACTGTTTTATAAAGATAAACCAATAAAAGCTTAATTTATAAAAATAAAAATAATTTTAACTAAAAATTATATTTACTCTCGAAAATAAGATTTTAAAGTATAAACGGTTCTATAAAAATAAAAAGCAAGTGTTAATATTAATAATTTTTAAATAACCCAATTAACTAATGAATTCCTTTACTACAACTTTCCTATTTTTATATTGTTCTGGTTTGTAAGTTAGGTATTCTTAAAAATATAAGAAATGATAAGGATTAATTGCAAATATCTGAGAATTAATTTTTTTTATCCAGATGATCTATTTTTGATCAGATAGCTAATGTGATAGATCAGATTCATTCAGATCACATCTCTAACTCTATAGCCTCACAATTTACATTTACACATTTATTTCTTTTTGAGTTTCTTGTAAGATTTTTCAAAGTGCTAATAGTATGACTTTGAATTTCTTCATTTTCTTCATAAATCAAAAGTAAATTGGAGGTAATAAACCAGAGAGATTCATTAAATTGATGAATAGATATATTTCAAATATATGTTACTGACTAGTTAATTAAGAAGGAAAAATATTTGAAGTAATCTTAAAAGAGGTGGTAGCCTTCGAAAAAGAACAATTTTCTATAAAGTTAAAATATAAATATTACCAAGAATTGAAAAATTAAAAACAATTTATATAACATAATATATTCTAACTATCTGATCTATCTAATGCCAAATTTTTCAATGCTAAAAATACCTGGCATTGTATTTTTTGCGAAGTGAAATTCACTAAACTAATCAAAGTTTATATTAAACATATTTCTGATGAGTCAAGCTTTCTTCAGTTTAAAGCTATAAATAATTATATTTGATTATTAATATTAATAATAATAAAGAATAAATAAAATAAAGTATATGCTATTAACAACGATAATGCTAAACGTAGTAGTATAATAATATTAATCATGAGTATAAGGTTACTAATATATTGTTATTTATTCTCATCTAGAATTAAATAATATAATTAACCATTATATATGTACATACAACTATTATAAGAATTATATATTAGAAATTATCAAATTTAATAAATGCTTATTGCATTTCTTTGAACTCATATATGGGAGGTTTGCTAGAAAAATAGGGCTCTGAGCATTTTTTATTAAAATTTTAAATTTTATTACATTTTAATCTAACATTATCAAAAATTAAAATGCAATAAAAATTAAAATTTTAATAAAAAATGCTCAGAGCCCCATT